TTAAGTAATAATATAGTCAATATGTAATATAATGCTTATATTTATTAAAATGCTCCTCTCTAGAGTTATTTTTTCTCGCTAACTATCAAGTTTATGGTCGTTTATGAACGCCTTTTCTGAGGTAAATGTGCACGTCACATGAAAGAATGCCAAATCTACATTTATTGTTTGTATTTCGTGGTGAAACTGACAGAATTTGAAAGCTCAGACTTTTTCATGTTAAAAAGAAAAGCACAAAGCTTATTGCTTATTGGATAACAGGCACACTACAAATAATGTTTTCTCGCAATTCTGAAAAAACGGTCAAAACTTCGAGATGAAAATTCACAATTGTGAATTAGCTTACCTTTTTATTTTTTTACTTTTTTATCTCATAACTCACTATTTTCTTGCAATTGCGAGTAAATATTTCACAATTAAGACTTTCCTTTGCAGAATTGCAAGTATATATTTATTCCCTCAGAATTTCAAGAAAAAAGTCAGAATTGCAATAAAACGTTACAATTGTGAGAGAAAAAGTCGCAATTACTTTTTTTATTCCATGGCGAGAAAAAAAAGTCAGATTTGTGAGATAAAAAGTCGCAATTACCATTTTTTTATTCCGTGGCAAGAAAAAAAGAGAATTGTGAGAGAAAAAGTCACAATTACCTTTTTCATTTTTATCTCACAATTCACACTTTTTTCTTGCAATTGCGAGGTTATATTTCACAATTAAGATTTTTTTAGTTTGTTTATATCTTGCAATTCAGACTTTTTTCACTCAGAACTTCAAGAAAAAAGTCAGAATTGCAAAAAAGTTAGAATTGTTAACTTTAGAATTGTGAGAGAAAAAGTTGTAATTACCATTTTTATTTTTTATTCCATGGCGAGAAAAAAGTCAGAATTGTGAGTGAAAAGGTCTCAGTTAACTTTTTTTTTAAATTTCATGGCAGAAATAGGCTTCCATAACGTTGTATGCACGAAAAAGATGTTGACAATCAAAACGTGACATCGGACACTAAACATCACTGTTTCGGTCAATGATTTCAGCCCTCCGTGAACCCTTTTATTTGGTTGCCTAAATTTCGGTGTATCACTAAATAAAATGTAAGACTGAGGGAGAAAAGGGATGACTGTATGGTCAAGGTGACAAAGAGAGGAAAAGGCAGCAAAGTAGTTTCAAAAGTGAGGAGGATGAGGGTGGCCTACGAAGGGAAACTCACACTGTGGTCATTTTTCCCAGAATAAACCATCTAATGGCCTTCCGTCTTTGAAGTTCCACATGCTACACAGTCCATTTTCTTTGTCGTAAAGGTACATCTGCTCTAAAGATGTTAAATTCCCATCAACCCATTGCGGGATCAGTGAGTTAATGGCCCTAAACATTCAGCTGCTTCTCAGTTACTCTATTATAAAAGTAATATAACGTCTCTTCAGGATAAGCAAGGAGCCGATCAATCCTCCAGAGCATCAGTGGGTTTTGCAGGGTGCTGTGGTTGGTGTTTGGGTTGTGCAGGTTGGACATGCTAGTAAAGGGAGAAGGGGGGCCGGGTGGGTCTTGGGAGTCACATTAGGGTCCACTGGGCCAAACAGAGAAGGAAAGGGTGGGGCATAATCCATCCCCCTTATGTGTGCAGCCCTGCCACTAACCCACTCCCACCCCTTACCTGAGTGCCACTTAACTTTTCAAGTGGACTCTCTACACAGGGCAGCGCCACCATGGGCATGCCCAGGACAGACTCAGGACGCTGGGGTCGCACCGGCATGGGTGGGGGCTTTGTCTGCTGGAAGCTGTTGATCACACACGTCACCTAGAGAGAGAAGAGAGAGAGAAAAAAAAAACTTACTGACCCCAAACTTTTAAACAGTAGTATATATGCATTTATTTACATTTGTATATTATACATTACTTGTATTCACATGCAATTATCTCTTCATTTGAGTGTTGTTTTATCCCACTCCACACGCTCTCACCAGAAAGACAGCGATGGCTCCGCCAGTGAAGTATCCAGCGAGGACGTCGGCCCAGTGGTTGCGGTATTCAGCCACTCTGACCACACCCACCAGCATGGCCAGACACAGCAGAGTCAGACTGAGTGTGGGTTTGGTCAGACGTGTCCCTTTAGTCCTAAACACCAACGTCACGTACATCTGCAAGCACACAAACAGACAGTGGTGAACAATATGACTGATACAAGTTTTATTTATTATTCTTTCAAGAGATTATATATACAGTATACCCCATACCTAAACTTAACAACGACCTTACTAAGTATTAATAAGCCACGGTTTAGGAGTTTATTGAGGCAAAAGTCATAGTTAACAGTTAGTTAATAGTGAGAATTGGTCCCCAAACTAAAGTATGACCCAATTCATAATAGCCGTTTTCTATTTGAACATATTCTAAAATGGAATCGATTCATATAGCGCAAAGTCTTCAGTGTCAAAATTTATTGCCCCCGAACAGTTTTCTCAGTATATATATATATATATATATATATATATATATACTGAGAAAACTGTTCGGGGTCAATAAATTTTGACACTGAAGACTTTGCGCTATATGAATCGATTCCATTTTAGAATATGTTCAAATAGAAAACGGCTATTATGAATTGGGTCACACTTTAGTTTGGGGACCAATTCTCACTATTAACTAACTGTTAACTATGACTTTTGCCTCAATAAACTCCTAAACCGTGGCTTATTAATACTTAGTAAGGTCGTTGTTAAGTTTAGGTATGGGGTATACTGTATATATAATCTCTTGAAAGAATAATAAATAAAACTTGTATCAGTCATATTGTTCACCACTGTCTGTTTTGTGCATTTATTCACTGAACCCTTTTTTCTGCGAAAATCCAGCCTGCGATCTGCCAGGACCTTTCAGTGTTGCCAAGTCTTGCAGTATTGCAGAAAGGATGTTTGGCTGATTTTTACGCAAATCTGGCAACCTCTGGACCTTCCCTGCTAAACTAATGTTAACGTCTGTGCTACTGCTCAGCTAAAAGTGCTCTAAAAAGGCAAATAAGATAATAAAAGACGAAAAAGGCACATATTAGTGTGGTGTGATCATCTGTGTGCTCACCACATTGATTTTAAATAGACTGTATGTGATGCCTTATGTAGGCCGAGCGCTACGATCAAAGATCATAGAAGATAAATGATCGGCATACGGTAAATAAAAATGACCTACACCTTGATCTACATGACAGAGAAATGTATAGTTTTTATTCTGTTTGAACTCGCATGTGTATGTGTTAACTCATTAAATTAACCATGTTTTCACTATAGTAACTAGTTTAACTATGGTATTTGCGGTAAAATCACAGTATCCACAAATGTACTATTCTCTCACTATAGCAACCATAATTATGCTATTTGTAGTAAAACTACAGTAGCCACAAATTTAACATAGTTTCATTATAGTAACTATAGTTTAATATTTGTAGGTAAACTATGGCAATACAAATGGTAGGCTAATATATCCGTCAAAAATGGCTGCTATTACCATATATAAAAAAACCTTACTACTCAGGACTACTGGTAAATTGCTGCTAAAAACTAGTCAAGGAAGTATATAAATCTGAACATTATTTTATTGTCAAAACTGCACATACATTTTTTTTTTTTTTGCAAATAAATGATCAATAGGTAGGTTAAATGATCACACAGGTCAAAATGTTTTACAACTTCGGATTCTAAACTGGGAATCGATAAGCATTTAAATCAATAAGCAGAATCAGAATGGATCAAATCAAAACAATCACAAACCCTAGCCACATGTTGTGCCGTTCACTGATTTATGAGCATTTTATGAACACTGATCAGTTGATGGCAAAATTCAAAAAGACGGTTCTTTGGCACAATAACGTGCACACGCATGTGTGTTCCAGTTTTCTGAAAAGACTAAAGATTGGTTTTCTTTTCAGTGTTTGCTTTGTTTGCCTAAAACGAACCATATCATAGCCTTCAAGATCTCTTTTAAAAAGAACTTTGTAACTTTTAAACAAGTATTAAAATGAGTTCAATGTAGCTGTAGGGGTGTTAAATAAAAAATAAAGTTGATTATCTTCATTCAGTTGTTCCATTTCTATAGGTTTGGTAACATAAAAGCTCTTAATTCCAAAGATAATAGAAGCTAATCAGTGTATTCAGTAGGTTGCATTAGTGGCATAAGGTATTGTGACAATAAAACAATGCATTTACTTTTTACTTTTGATACTTAAGTACTTTTAAAAGCATGTACTTTCGTACTTTTACTTAAGTCAAAAACTGTCTTTAAAACTTTCACTTGTAGTGGAGTAGTATTTGACCAGCAGTACTGGTCTATGCATCCCTGCCTCTGCTGAATAAGTTTTTACTGGGGATAAAAACATCCCGCGAACCAGCTCCGACGTTCCGATCTAAATCAAATGATTTGCGATACACACTTTGAAGTCCTGATCTGAATCAAATGATTCACGATACGCGAGCCAATTGAAGCGCTTCGAAACAATGAATCATTTTGCGACGCAATGGTTTAACTGATTCGGAGTTTCAAAAAGCTCCGTTGTGTTCTTTGCACGCTTTCTCTATAACATGTATTCATTGTTTGTTGTAAATCATTACAATTAATAGGTCTAACGTACAATGTTTTTATTAAATTGTGATCACGTTAAATACAGTTTAACGTATTTAAAAGTTTTTAATGTATTAAAAACATTTCATAAAAAGTTTTCAAAAGCAGCCCCCCCTCTGTTTTTTTCACAAATCGCACCCTGTATATACAGTATATACAGTGGGTACGGAAAGTATTCAGACCCTCTTAAATTTTTCACTCTTTGTTATATTGCAGCCATTTGCTAAAATCATTTAAGTGAATTTTTTTCCACCATCCAACCTGACAGAACTGGAGAGGATCTGCAAGGAGGAATGGCAGAGGATCCCCAAATCCAGGTGTGAAAAACTTGTTGCATCTTTCCCAAAAAGACTCATGGCTGTATTAGATCAAAAGGGTGCTTCTACTAAATACTGAGCAAAGGGTCTGAATACTTAGGACCATGTGATATTTCAGTTTTTCTTTTTTAATAAAGCTGCAAAAATGTCAACAATTCTGTGCTTTTCTGTCAATATGGGGTGCTGTGTGTACAATAATGAGGAAAAAAATTAACTTAAATGATTTTAGCAAATGGCTGCAATATAATAGAAACGTGGCTTTCTAAGGAGAGATTGCTATCAAATAGCTCACCTAGGTGCCTAACTGATGACGAAGAATTGACAGAGCAGCCATCATGTCTTAGAGAGTGTTCTAGGTTATTATATGCAGAGTTTTTAGGTCCTATAATTTCTGTTTTTTCAGAATTTAGCAGTAAGAAATGACTCATCATCCAGCTTTTTATATCGACTATGCATTCCGCAAGTTTTTCAAATTGGTATGTTTCGCCAGGCTGCGAAGAAATATAGAGCTGAGTATCATCAGCATAACAGTGAAAGCTAACACCGTGTTTCCTGATGATATCTCCCAAGGGTAACATGTAAAGCGTGAAGAGTAACGGCCCTAGTACTGAGCCTTGTGGTACTCCATACTGCACTTGTGATCGATATGATACCTCTTCATTCACTGCTACGAATTGATGGCGGTCATATAAGTACGATTTGAACCATGCTAATGCACTTCCATTAATGCCAACAAAGTTTTCTAGTCTATGCAAGAGAATGTTGTGGTCAATAGTGTCGAACACAGCGCTAAGATCCAATAGCACTAATAGAGATATACAACCACAATCAGATGATAAGAGCAGGTCATTTGTAACTCTAATGAAGTGACGTACTGTACTCGCTGGTCTGCGTCTGTTGGTGCATTGTGAATTAGCCTTTAGCCACCAAGACGTTCTTGTTTAACCAGAATCACCAGAAAAAACATGCTGAACCAGTTTTACTATTTTTACTGGTGACATGGCCATACCAGTGCACCAGTTAGACAAGTACTAAAAAAACCACTGAAAAATGCTGGAAAAACACTGAAATTCATAGTAGTGTGAAGTGCTCTTTCTCGAAGTCTGCAGGTTGCCTGTTGACTTTTTAAAAGAAAACTATATAATTGCAAGGTAGAATACTATTATTTAAGAATATAAGCATTAAGTTCCAGTTTTAGCACAATCAGCCGTTTTTGATCACAATCACTAGCTAACAATCACTTTTTGTGTCCTGGAGTTTGTGAGATTGCTCACAACTCCAGAGATGTAAACCTGCACTCTTTTGTTTATCTGTTAGTACGTTCACAAGTGCGTAATTTGAGATTCAGTCACATCATTAAAATACCTGTAGGTTCTTTATACTCACTACTGTATAGACTGCAGAAAAAACACTAAGGGCCGCATCTTTGGAGGGAAAGGATTTCCGTGCAGATGCTACTATGAGGGGGTTTCCTGTACAGGCTTTGCGCTCTGTGATGTACTGTAGGTTGGAATGGCAGCCCAGTGCTGTGTAGTTTGGTCTGCACGCTGATAGGAAGTGAGGCGTCTGGTTTCCTGTTACTACCTGTCCGGCACTGGCAAAGATGGTGGTGGTGAACACGCCGAAGGTATAGACACCTGAGTGACAGCACAGACACCAAAGAACGAATATAAAACGTGTAAAAATTGGGGCTGATGATAGATTGGGGACCTTATCTATATTGAAAATAAAATAAAATAAATTATATTTACAATATTGGCTACCATATTCATTATTGGTCATGAAAAATAAAATAAAATACAACTTTATAATACTGGCCACTATATTCATTATTGGTCATAAAATAAAATAACTTTATAATATTGGTCATATTCGCTACTGGTCATGAAATAAAATACAATACAATAAAAACAACTGTATAACACTGGCCTTAATATTCACATTGGTCATAAAATAGAATAGAATAAATAATTGTCCATAATATTGATTATTGGTCATAAAATATTGTGTTTGGCTATTGACATAAAAGTCAAATATGCAGCATTGTCTAACCATGTCACACATGTTGTACTTCATCTGAAATTATTATAAAGACTATTTTTTAAATAACTGTCCATTTATTATACATTCAATTCTTATGAGCTAGTATTAACTGAGAAACAAGCTGACATATTTGTAATTTTACATTTCATTTGTCACAGTGCAGGACTATTTAAGTAAACTGCAAAAATGTAAAAATTTAAATATAAAAAAAATACACAATTAAAATAAATATTAAAAATACAAATAAATAAATAAATAAATATATATATATATATATATATATATAAAAAATCCACTTACGTTCCCCTATATTTTAACCTAAATTCCTAATGTAAAAAAAAAAATCCACAAACTGTATATAATGAATTTAATTTCACAGTTTGTGGGATTAAAATGGGTTTTAAGGCCAAAGTATACTTCAAGTTTACACGTGCGCGAGGGTTCGTGTATAGTGCATATGACACAAATTTCATCACCAGAACAGTACGCGCACCGTCGCACATGTGGGGGTTATGAGAGAGTCGCAACTTTAGATTAAAAGAGTTCAAAGTCTTTTTTTTTTATTGATCATAACTTCTGGAGAAAAATAGCACAGACACTGGACTAAGATGAATCTTTCTAGAGCGCATGTGTCATATATATATAAAAAAAATCCACTTACGTTCCCCTATATTTTAACCTAAATTCCTAATGTAAAAAAAAAAATCCACAAACTGTATATTATGAATTTAATTTCACAGTTTGTGGGATTAAAATGGGTTTTAAGGCCAAAGTATACTTCAAGTTTACACGTGCGCGAGGGTTCGTGTATAGTGCATATGACACAAATTTCATCACCAGAATAGTACGCGCACCGTCGCACATGTGGGGGTTATGAGAGAGTCGCAACTTTAGATTAAAAGAGTTCAAAGTCTTTTTTTTTTATTGATCATAACTTCTGGAGAAAAATAGCACAGACACTGGACTAAGATGAATCTTTCTAGAGCGCATGTGTCAACCGCCTGTGTTCTCACACGCTATCAAATGGAGTATACTTTGAAAGGCTACGTGTTCAACTCTACCGTACACACAAAAACAAAGCATACTTTGGGCTTTATTGCTTTTGATGCATTTGAAATATAATCAGGATCATAAAAAAAACAATTTCTTTGAAATTTTAGTATCTGAGCTTTAGAACCTATAGTTCTCTTCCTAAAAGGTTCATTTTTAGTTCCTTATGACATCACTCATATCATCATCTTCAGCGAATGCTGATGTACCTAGGAAGCGTACGATGCGTCTCAGCAGAGGGTTGAAGTAACAGCAGTCGGCTGTGACTATGGTCTTCTCCAGCATGCCCTCCGACCTCATGAAAAACACCATCACCTCGCCAGCCAGAATCTGAGGAAGAAAAAACAACAAATGAAACAAACAGTAGCTGCCAAAACATCCACCACCCCATTTGTTTGGGCATTATTGATGCTCCATTTGGTTGAAATACGAGTGCAGGAAACATGCGCTTCCAAAATCATGAGTCGCTAATAGTCCCTCATTTTCACTGTTCTCAAATGCCAACACCAGAACCTCATTATTTCTGATCTCCCTGGTTACTGTTAAGATGAGTAACAGCTCATCAACGTGACTAATTCTGCTTTGCAATGTAAGAGGTGTGCACACATCACTTCTTTATGCGTTTAAATACTCATACTGTGAGTGAATATGTCTCCTTTGCATTGAACATAGTAATGTAGTAGTCGTATGTGGTAGAAGCTAAAAACCATGAACAAAACTATGCAAGGTAAAAGAAAATACCTAAATTACATTAAATACGGGTTAACTTGCAATAAACATGGTTTGTGTTGACCACAATGCGTTTTGAGCAAAGTATTCATGGCTTAGAGCATGAAACCATAAAAATTCAAAAGACGTTTATAAATCAAACAAAAAGAGGAGACTGGGAGAGAAAAGTTTTTAAAAGACCATTTTTGTCTTAATGTGTATAATAATTTGGGATGTCCAGTATACTGGAGACCATATTTGTACTGAAAATAAAATAAAAATTAATAATAAAATACACAAATTACAAAGAATGTAAAACAAAAAAGTGAGTAACGCTGTTAAAAAAAAAACATAAGAAGTGATGGATGGGATGAGATGCATAAGACGAAAATAAATTAAAATATGAAGATTATTCAAATAAATTATGAAGAACGTAAAATAAAAAAAAGTGAGTAACACTTGAGGTCATGTTAGAATTATTTTTTTTTGCATGGGATGTGATGCATGAGAAAAAAAAAAGAAAAAAATTAAATTAAAATCAAAAAGTGAGAACCACTAAACTAAACATCTGAGCTATAATGCTATACAAATGCTTCCTTGGCAGTGATAGAAGAACCGGAGACCATAAACACGACATCAAATCCATTACCTTCAACTCAAAGAGACAGAGAGAGACGTCAGAGAGGGACAGGGACACAGCAATCCCCCAACACCTTTCCCAGTTTAGCACCTGACCGCTGACACAGACTGACAGAGTGTGACATCAGTCATGCGCACACACACACACACACACACACACACAGCAAATGATCAACACACGCTCAGTCCATATGACTCATGCACCAAGAGAAAGTTTGGAGGGGTCGCAGTGATATAGTAAGGGTGACTGCATTTCCATTTTTGGGTGAATTACCGACTGTGATGATGTTGTGAATTGAGGATGTGCGTCTAATACTGTGTGTGTTTTGGCGAGACTGTGAACATCAGTTCAAGAGTGAATAATGCACCATTAGATGAGATAAAGCTGCGTTTCTAGATCCTTTCTATCAGCTTTCAGTCTGTCATGGATGATTAGGCTAATATGCTTCTCATATAAATATATAATAATATAAAGCAGATCTCAACACCACAATGACTCCCAAATGGGGGCAGGAAAGGGTCAAAGGCAGGATATGATATCTAAACCCCACCCTACAATTTGATACAAATTAAATATGAAACATTAAAGTAAATTATCTAAAAAAAAAGGAAAACAAAACATCCTCCTCTATTAAAATAGATGATCAATAGATTGATCAATTTAATGCATCCTTGCTAAATAAAAGTATTAACTTCTTTCAAATAAAAAATAACCTTAACACAAAAATCAGACAGTCAAGCGATGGTTGTGTGATGAAACGGAATGAAAGCCTAGGGGCCTGACACTGCTGCTTTACCACGTTTCATCTCCTCTCTTATCGCGACGCAAAACAGATCATGAACCGACTCTTCCCTGAGGCAGCGAGTGGACATTCATGCCACGACAGAGAGGTGCACAGTTCAGGCATATGTTGAAATGCCAGCGCTTTCCCACCTCGAGCAGCCGGTGCCATCTGCTGCAGTTTATCAGGTGGCATCGCTGTGCATCTCCACACTCCCCAATCCCCCCTCTGGCCATCAAAAGCTTATATTTAGGCTGTTTTCATGCAATTTACACCTCGAGTCATGCTGAAACATAAAGCAATTTTATGTGGCTGATAAATGAATGTGTGGCGATTTAGTGAACTAATGCTCGAGCAGAGCACTAACATCCTCAAAATAGTTATACCTCATGATGTGAAAGCACATAACTCAAAATATTCTGATAAAACAGTTCAGGTTACCACCTTGTTTTTGGAAGTATTATGGCAAACTGAAAATCTAAATGATTTTAAGAGACTACAATGTTCTTTCTTTATGTTTGTTTGATCACAAGACTATATGGTGCATATGTCTTTTATGCTGTCATGTCGCTTTTTTGCCATTTTTGGAGCTTGATAGAAATATTTTAATTGTATGCGAAAAAGAAGAACTGGTCCTTTAACACTATAAAGCCTAATGTATCAAATTTAAAGGCCTCTAAATCATTAGCACGATCAAAACTTTGCTTAAAACTCTGTTGAGACAGAGAGAGACGTCAGAGAGGGACAGGGACACAGCATTCACCCAACACATTTCCCAGTTTAGCACCTGACCGCTGACACAGACTGACAGAGTGTGACATCAGTCATGCGCACACACACACACACACACACACACACAAACACACACAGCAAATGATCAACACATGCTCAGTCCATATGACTCATGCACCAAGAGAAAGTTTGGAGGGGTCGCAGTGATATAGTAAGGGTGACTGCATTTCCATTTTTGGGTGAATTACCGACTGTGATGATGTTGTGAATTGAGGATGTGCGTCTAATACTGTGTGTGTTTTGGCGAGACTGTGAACATCAGTTCAAGAGTGAATAATGCACCAATAGATGAGATAAAGCTGCGTTTCTAGATCCTTTCTATCAGCTTTCAGTCTGTCATGGATGATTAGGCTAATATGCTTCTCATATAAATATATAATAATATAAAGCAGATCTCAACACCACAATGACTCCCAAATGGGGGCAGGAAAGGGTCAAAGGCAGGATATGATATCTAAACCCCACCCTACAATTTGATACAAATTAAATATGAAACATTAAAGTAAATTATCTAAAAAAAAAGGAAAACAAAACATCCTCCTCTATTAAAATAGATGATCAATAGATTGATCAATTTAATGCATCCTTGCTAAATAAAAGTATTAACTTCTTTCAAATAAAAAATAACCTTAACACAAAAATCAGACAGTCAAGCGATGGTTGTGTGATGAAACGGAATGAAAGCCTAGGGGCCTGACACTGCTGCTTTACCACGTTTCATCTCCTCTCTTATCGCGACGCAAAACAGATCATGAACCGACTCTTCCCTGAGGCAGCGAGTGGACATTCATGCCACGACAGAGAGGTGCACAGTTCAGGCATATGTTGAAATGCCAGCGCTTTCCCACCTCGAGCAGCCGGTGCCATCTGCTGCAGTTTATCAGGTGGCATCGCTGTGCATCTCCACACTCCCCAATCCCCCCTCTGGCCATCAAAAGCTTATATTTAGGCTGTTTTCATGCAATTTACACCTCGAGTCATGCTGAAACATAAAGCAATTTTATGTGGCTGATAAATGAATGTGTGGCGATTTAGTGAACTAATGCTCGAGCAGAGCACTAACATCCTCAAAATAGTTATACCTCATGATGTGAAAGCACATAACTCAAAATATTCTGATAAAACAGTTCAGGTTACCACCTTGTTTTTGGAAGTATTATGGCAAACTGAAAATCTAAATGATTTTAAGAGACTACAATGTTCTTTCTTTATGTTTGTTTGATCACAAGACTATATGGTGCATATGTCTTTTATGCTGTCATGTCGCTTTTTTGCCATTTTTGGAGCTTGATAGAAATATTTTAATTGTATGCGAAAAAGAAGAACTGGTCCTTTAACACTATAAAGCCTAATGTATCAAATTTAAAGGCCTCTAAATCATTAGCACGATCAAAACTTTGCTTAAAACTCTGTTGCACAAAATCTACAACATGCCTTCAGTCGTCTGATTGATAGTTTATACTCTTTTTTTTAGCAAGTAAAAGGCTTTTTAGTAAAAACATCTCCCTTAATGTTTCTTTTTGCTGTGAAATCTTTATTGATTTTTAACTTTTATATTGTTAGTAATATTTCAAGATGAAAAATACTGGACTGAAGCAACTTAGGTTTACCTGCTTATCCATAAATCATTTTTTGAAAAATCCTGTTAAAATATGTATCAAATATCATCCGTCAGGCTTTTAAGGAACATTTATTTGTTCATCATTCAATCATTTGTTCTCAATCATCATTGTATTGCATTGCATTATATGTTTTAAAACTACAGTTTTAATCATAAAACTGCATTTAATATAATCTAAAGCATTTAAATATCATCTTAAGGCATATTATTGGGAAATATAGAGTGACAACTCATATTTATATCATTTTATGTATTTGCTATACTGTTATAAATATCTCACTGATTTGCATTACAAGCTATCAGAATTTCATCTTAATTTTTTTACCATATAAATATCAGCAACTGCACCAAACTGCATATTCTTGCTCAGTTTGGGCCTCTGAATAAATCTGAGGTGTTTTTTCTTGATATTCTATATCATACAATATGTATGCATTAAATGTGACACTCAACAAAAACACAGTGTATGCACATTTATATATATATATATATATATATATATATATAACAAATATTTTGTCTAAAGGATATATACTGTGTGTATATATATATATATATATATATATATATATATATGAGCTAGCCAGGGGTGACCCCGAATAGTCGACGATTCGATGCTTCGATAGGAGGAGCCTGATTCGACTACCAATCTCACAGTCGAATATTCGCGGGTGGTCATGCCATTTTGGCTATATGGGGGTGCTCAATGTCTAATTTCACATAGAACTACTGTTTTTCTCCCACTAAGTTAATATACAGCCTATTAAGATAATGCTGTAAATAAGAATCTGAAAAGAAAGAAGCTTCAAATAAATATTTTAACGTGCGTGAATAAATCCAACCACCCTATAAGTATTTGATCCCCTACCAACCAGCAAGAATTCTGGCTCCCAGAGATTGGTTAAGTGCCCAAGTGGAACACAGATTAGTCGTCACTTTAAGAAATTACTCCTAATGTCATCTTGTTATGAGTTTAAAAGAAACCAGTCCATAGAACGTGTATCTTCCATTCAAACCTCTCCCACCACCATGTGCAAGACCAAAGAGCTGTCAAAGGACGTCAGAGACAAGATTGTAGACCTGCACAAGGCTGGAATGGGCTACAAGACCATCAGCAAGAAGCTTTTTGAGAAGGAGACAACTGTTGGTGTGAATATTCGGAAATGGAAGAAATACAAAATAACCATCAATTGCCCTCTTTCTGGTGCTCCATGCAAGATCTCGCCTTATGAGGAAAGGATGGTCATGACGAAGGTGAGGGATCAGCCCCGAACTACACAGGAGGAGCTTGTTAATGATCTTAAGGCAGTTGGGACAACAGTCGCCAAGCAAACCATTGGTAACACACTACGTTGCAATGAGTTGAAATCATGCAGTGCCCGCAAGGTCCCCCAGCTCAAGAAGGCACATGTACAGGCCCGTCTGAACATCTAAATGATTCAGAGAAGGCTTGGGAGAAAGTGCTGTTGTCACATAAGAACAAAATTGAACTCTTTGGCATCAACTCGACTTGCTGTGTTTGGAGGGAGAGAAATGCTGACTATGACCCCAAGAACACCATCCCTACAGTCAAGCATGGAGGTGGAAACATTATGCTTTGGGGCTGTTTCTCTGCTATGGGTACAGGATGACTTCACCGCATTAAAGGACCGATGGACGGGGCCATGCACCTTAAAATTCTGGATGAGAACCTCCTTCTCTCAGTCAGAACACTGAAGATGGGTCATGGATGACGGATCTTCCAGCATGACAATGACCCAAAATACCGCCAAGGCAACAAAGGAGTGGCTCAAAAAGAAGCACAATAAGGTCATGGAGTGGCCTAGTCAGTCCCCAGACCTTAATTCTATAGAAAATCTGTGGAGTGAGCTGAAACTTTGAGTTGCCAAGAAACCTTAAGGATTTAGAGAGAATCTTTAAAGAGGAGTGGAACAAAATCCCTCCTGAGATGTGTGCAAACCTGGTGACCAACTACAAGACGCGTCTTACTTCTGTGCTTGCCAACAAGAGTTTCTCCACCAAGTTTTGCTTGGGGATCAAATACTTATTTGACTCACTGAAATGCAAATCAATTTATACAACCTTTGTACAGTGTTTTTTTCCCTGGATTTTTTAGCTTGATATTCTCTCTATCCGTTAAAATAAACCTTGCATAAAAATTATAGACCCTTCATTTCTTTGTAAGTGGGCAAACTTATAAAATCAGTAGGGGATCAAATAATTATTTTCCCCACTATATAATATATATATATATATATACACACACGCACACAGTGGGTATAGAAAAGAATCACCCCCCCTTTAAAATAGTCACATTTTGTTGCTTTGCAGCCTGAAATGAAGATGGACATTTCTGTAAAATTTTGTTTGATCCAGCTGTATTTACTCAGTGCAACTTATAACACCCAAGTCACAGATATAACACCAACATGTCAGAAAAAATAACAAAATAAAAAACAGAATCACCGAGTTGGAAAAAGGTTGGTATTTTTGTTGAACCACCAAAAATTATAGACCCTTCATTTCTTTGTAAGTGGGCAAACTTACAAAATCAGTAGGGGATCAAATAATTATTTTCCCCACTATATAATATATATATATATATATATATACACACACGCACAGTGGGTATAGAAAAGAATCACCCCCCCCTTTAAAATAGTCACATTTTGTTGCTTTGCAGCCTGAAATGAAGATGGACATTTCTGTAAAATTTTGTTTGATCCAGCTGTATTTACTCAGTGCAACTTATAACACCCAAGTCACAGATATAACACCAACATGTCAGAAAAAATAACAAAATAAAAAACAGAATCACCGAGTTGGAAAAAGGTTGGTATTTTTGTTGAACCACCTTTTGCTTTACAGTCTTTAGTCTGTTGGGATTTGTCTGTCTCTACTAACTTTGCACATTTAGACTTTGCAATATTTGCTCACTCTTCTTTGCAGAACTGCTCAAGTTCAGTTCAATCTGATGGTGAGCGTTTATGGACTGCAGTCTTCAAGTCATTCCACAGATTTTCAGTGGGGATTTGGCACTGACTAGGCCATGCAAGGACATTCACCTTTTTCTGTGCTGTGTGCTTTGGGTCATTGTCATGTTGGAAGGTAAACCTTCTTCCCATTGACAACTTTCTGGCATAGGGCAGCAGATGTTCCTCAAGAATTTGATGCTATTTTGCCCCATTCATTTCTCCTTCTATCCTGACAAGTGCTCCAGTCCCTGCTGCAGAGAAACTCCCCATAACAGGACATTACCACCTCCATGCTTTACTGGAGGAGTGCTGTTATTTGACTGCTGAGCTGTTTTGGATTTCCGTCAGACATATTGTTTGCTGTTGACGCCAAATAATAAAATTTTAGTCTCATCTGCCTCAGGCCATGTCCACACGTACACAGGTGTGAGTTTTTACTTCTTCCGTTTTAAAAGAAATCTCCGTCCACATGAAAACGCAAACGTATGATTCGACCAACAGGTGGCGATATAATCTCAACCGTAAAGCCATGTTGGCCAATCAGAAGCCTGAAAAAGTTTCCAGTAGGCGGAGATAACAGGCGCAGGCTCCGACGTCACAAGCCAGAAACGCTGGTTTCGCCGTCTAAACGACAACACTGCAACCGGAGTTTTTAAATATCTTCACCCTGGCAGGCTTTTTAAAAAATGTTTAGTTTCAGAGACCTGGTGCTGCGTTTGCGTGTGGACGAACGGCCTAAGCGTGTAGAAAAAGCTGCGGTTTTAAAAATAACCGCGTTCGTGTGGACAGGGCCTCAGAATCTTCAAGGTGTGTTTTGGCAAAGCTCAGTCGTGACTGCATGTGGCCTTTCTTGAGGAGTGGCTGTTTTCTTACAACCCTCCCATACGAGCCACATTTGTGGAGAATTTGTGATATTGTTATCTCATGCACACAATGACCACTCTTTGTCATAAATTCCTGCAGCTGCTTCAGAGTTGCTACAGGCCTCTTGGTCGCCTCTGACCAGTTTCCTCCTGGCTCTTTCATCCAGTTTGGAGCGACGTCCTGATCCAGGGGGTGTCTGTGTTGTACCAAATACCTTCCACTTCCTAATAATAGACTTCACTGTGCTTCTAGGCATTGATAAAGCCTTTGACATTTTTTTGTTTCCATCTGACTTGTGCGAGTCCATAACTTTATCCCGGAGTTCTTTTGACAGTGCCTTGCCACACATAGTTTTCTTCAGTTAAGGACTGAAATGCTCCAGGAAAGCTCCTTTCATGCTGAGCTAATCAAAATGACAGCTGATCACAGTTGAAAGTCAAATGGATTTGCGTGCCATTGAGAAGGTGATTAGTTACACTTGATTGAGTTTACAAGTCATTTTTAGAAGGGGGGTGATCCTTTTTCCAACTTAGTGATTCTGTTTTTTTATTTTTTTCTGACATGTTGGTGTTATATCTTTGAGTAAATACAGCTGGATAAAACAAAAACTGTGTCTGTCTTCATTCAGTCAACAAAATGTGATTATTTAAAAGGGGGGGGGGGGGGGGGATTTTTTTTAGGTAACTCCGGATCACTTTAAATAATTTGTACTGTTTTTATTTTATTTTAAATACTCGAGAGAAGTTCTGAAATGCACACATGTTCATAAAATAGATTATGGACTGATATTTAGTCGAGAAACGACTTTTATATTAGAAAATCTTGCTAATTATTACTCCCATTATTGCACTTATTTGTTCATTCTATGTTGCCCCAAAAACACATTAATATGCTAATTAGATACGGTTTATAGATATTGTATATAATGGAAAAACTTGTTTATGGCCATTTTACACACATTTTGCATAAAGAAAAATGTTTTTTTTTTATATTTTTCATAACAGTTGAGAATCGTCTTTATATAAAGTTTGGTATAAAAAATTAAAATTGATTTGTGATTAAAACAAAAATCCCACTGTTTTTGCCCTGTCATGTTTATTCATGTCTTTTTATTTCTTGTCTTCTACAGAGGACATGGCATAACATGAATAAAATATCATTTAAAAAAAAAAAATTCAAATGTTTTCTTATGCTCTAAACAATGTAATGACATGACAAAATACTAAATTCACAAAACTGTTTTTTTCCTGGTAGTCAGGAGGATATATATTATAATTATTATTATTTTTTTTAAATACTAAAATACTATTAAAATACTATTATTTGATATGTCAGGGTTAAATATGAGTAGATTACTGGTGTGAGTGATATTGCAGTCTGCAAACAAATTTTCAGAAAACAAAACCTTATCTACAATACCTACAGCTTTTGAAAACTTTCAACTTTTAGAGAAGCACATAATTATTATCCAGCCGAGAGCAGTTGAACCCAGGCCATTGCGAGTTGAACATCACTGCAACCAGCACCAGGTCATCTAGCCGAGAGCAGACCAATCCCAGGCCACCGCGGGTCGAACCTCACCGCAACCAGCAGCAGACCATCCAACCGAGAGCAGATTGATCCCAGGCCGCCGCGAGTCGAACCCCACCAAACCTTATCTACAATACCTACAGTTTTTGAAAACTTTCAACTTTTAGAGAAGCACATAATTAATTATTATCCAGCCGAGAGCAGTTGAACCCAGGCCATTGCGAGTTGAACATCACTGCAACCAGCACCAGGTCATCTAGCCGAGAGCAGACCAATCCCAGGCCACCGCGGGTCGAACCTCACCGCAACCAGCAGCAGACCATCCAACCGAGAGCAGATTGATCCCAGGCCGCCGCGAGTCGAACCCCACCTCAACCAGAAGCAGGTCATCCAGCCGAGAGCAGACCAATCGCAGGCCGCCGCAAGTCAAACCTCACCGCAACCAGCAGCAGGTCATCCAGCCGAGAGCAATTGAACCCAGGCCATCGCGAGTCGTACATCACCGCAACCAGCAGCAGGTCATCCAGCCCAGAGCAGCCGACCCCAGACCGTGTGTTCATCCCACGCAAGCAAGCACCGAACCTCACCTGAGGTAACTTACGCTGGTATTTTAACAGTTGAAATTGAAATTGAAGAAAGGACTTCATTCAACAATTCCTCCCTAATATCGTGTCTCGTTGTGATAGACTGTTGATTCTAGGAGACTTTAATATTCACCTTTGTTGTCCATTTAAACCGCTGGTGAAAGAGTTTTTATGCCTCATTGAATCTTTAAATCCGTCACAATTAGTTTTGAGTCCTACTCATAAATAGGAACACACATTGGATTTGGTGTTGTCATATGGCTTCCCCATAGCAAACCTGAGAGTGATTGATGCTGCTTTTTCAGACCATTTGCCAATTGTGTTTGAATTAGTTTGCGATTCCCCCACCCCCACATGCTCTCAGTCTGCAAGTTATTCTCGTTTTATTCAGCCGTCCCACTGCCAGTTTATTTTCAGAGCACTATCAAGCAAACTTTGTTCGACAAATTAAACACTGAAGAGATGGTGGAGGTTTTTAATAATTCCTGCTCCATTTCTATAGACTCTGTTGCTCCCCTTAAGCTAAGGAAAGCAAAGAGAAAGGGCACCAAGTCTCATATGAGTGTCTGATTGCATGTTTACCTAGCCACCAAAAGTCAGTTAAAGAGGCCAAGTCAGAATTCCTATCCAAACTCCTTATTGAAAATGCGAACCGACCGAGGATGCTGTTTAAGACAATTGATTTGGTGCTAAATCCCTTACCTGCCCTTTCTCTTGATCTATCTCGGGAAACCTGTGAGAACTTTTTAACATTTTTGATAATAAAGTATTGAATATTAAGGCTTCTATTAAGCCATCATACATATGATCCCCCATTGAGCTGTTCACCAACAGATTGTTGACTTGTTTTCATCCAATTTCCTCTGTACAGTTATATTGTTTTTAAAGGGGTCATATGATGTTGCTAAAAAGAACATTATTTTGTGTATTTGGTACACAAAATATGAAAATGTTTTGTATTTGGACAAAAACACACAAAAAACCCATTAGAAACGAAGCATTTGTTGCATCCAGTGGGGACATCCAGTAATTACGTATTATAATGACTTATACTGTCTTTTTATGCGTTGCGTTGCATCGCGCCGCATAAACATAAAACCAATGACAAATGACAAACAACAAACGCTACACTACACTGCTCAAAACTCGCGTTTGAATCATCAGTGGCAAATTCTTTAAATATGAAACCATACTCAGAACAGCCGGCCCGGCATTGTAGTCTACTCTACCAGGATCAGGAAACAGTCCTCCATAAAATGCGCTGGACACATCTGAATATTTGGGTTGAACTGTTCTGGAACAGTGTTGTAAATACAACTTAACCACTGATTTCTAGTTGTGTCCTCTTTTGGAAGGCCAAACAAAGTAGTTTCGCTTTCACAACGAAACACACGGCGGGCTAGAGTGAGGAATGGCAGGTGGGCTTGAGAACTGCGCGGCCGGCGGGCTTGCGGCAACCACATGTGACGACCCCGGGCTGGACTCTGCTTCGTCTACGGTGAAAGCCGATCCACAGCGCAAAGTTGATGTATTTCCTCAGCGACCAGCACGGATCAGCTCCAGGCATGACGAAGCAGATATCGTCCTCTTTTGGAAGACCAAACAAAGTAGTTTCACTTTCACAACGAAACACACAGCATCTCCACTTCATGGCAGCGGCGGCAACAACAATACTACAGCGAGAATCAAAGTTACGCCGGGGAAGCTGTGGCCTAATGGTTAGAGAGTCGGACTCGTAACCCAAAGGTTGCGGGTTCGAGTCTCGTACCGGCATGGATTGTAGATGGGAGGAGTGAATGTACAGCGCTCTCTCCCACCTTCAATACCATGACTGAGGTGCCCTTGAGCGAGGCACCGAACCCCCAACTGCTCCCGGGCGCCACAGCAAAAAAAAAAAAATGGCTGCCCACTTTTTTTGTGTGTTCACGGTGTGTGTGTTCACTGCTGTGTGTGTGTACTTTGGATGGGTTAAATGCAGACCACATGTCACGTCACTTTCTTTGCGTGAACATTTGGGCGGTGTTATGCAAATCTTTCCACACAGTGACGTAGACATGTGGGGGCGTGTTTAAACGAGGCATTTTAGGAGGGCGTGGACAAGTCTTAACTTTTATAAAGAATATCTCTTTGGATTTGAGACTTTAGTCTTTGCAAATTTAGGAATCTTATCTATGCACGAACAGCTTGTAACACTCCAAAGAGAAAGGAAAATTTGAAATTGCATCATATGACCCCTTTAAGACTAAATCCTCCAGCTGTGAGTCTGATGTCATCTCCGCTCGTCTTTTTAAGGAAGTGTTTGCAAGCCTGAGTCCGGCCGTAACAGCCATCATTAATAGTTCTTTAGCAAATGGAGTTGTACCAGCTAGTTTCAAACATGCTGTGGTTCACCCTCTGCTTAAGAAACCTCATCTTGATCTATCCTCAGTAATTTCAGACCTATTTCTAAGTTGCCTTTTATTTCGAAGCTATTAGAGAGAGATGTTTATCGTCAGTTGAATTCCTATATCAGTATGTCCAGTGTTTTAAATACTTTTCAGTCGGGTTTTAGATCACTGCACAGCACAGAAACTGCACTGTTGAAGGTTAGCAATGACCTTTTGCAAGTTCTCGATAGTAGTTCATATGCGGTGCTTGTTTTGTTGGATTTAAGTGTGGTATTCGATACAATTGATCATAGTATTCTGTTGCGTCGGTTGGAAAAGTTGGTGGGTATTCAGGGTGTCTCTCTGCAGTGGTTGGGCTCTTATCTCAAAGACAGAACCTTCTCAGTGAGCATTGGGAAGTTTTCTTCTTCGTCGGCTCCTTTGTCATGCGGTGTGCCCCAAGGGTCCATTTTAGGCAATATAAGATTTCATACCACTGCTATGCTGATGATACACAGTTCTATCTTCCAACAAAAACTGACAGCGGTGATTCTTTGGATGTGCTCTACGACTGTTTTGAGGACATAAAATGTTGGATGGCTAATAATTTTTTGCAATTAAATGAAAGCAAAAGCGAAATTCTGATTTTAGGCAACTCTAGGACTTCATCCGTTTTTAATTTAGGGTCTCTCTCTGCCAATGTTCAACCCTATGTAAGAAATCTTGGGTTACATTTGATTCGTTACTCAACTTTGAGAAACAAATTAGCACAGTGGTAAAGGGCAGCTTCTTCCATCTGAGATCAATTGTTGTCACTGTAAAACCAAGGGTCGTCAGGCTTTTTCAGCTGCAGCTCCTAAACTTTGGAATAGTTTGCCTGTAAATGTGAGACTTGCTCCTTCACTAGCCAGTTTTAAGTCTGTTCTCGAATCTTATTTGTTTTATCTGGCATTTGATTAATGTCAGTTTAAGGTTTTGATGTCAGTTTGCTCTGATTCTATTTTAATGTGTTTATTTTTCATGTAATGCATGTTTCCTATTAAGCTTTTATATACTGTGTTTTGTTGTACTGCACTCTGGCGCAACTCTGTTGCTTTTAAATGTGCTATAGAAATACATTTTGACTTGACTTGTAAGCCATGCAAACCAAATTATACATAAATCTCACTGTAAAATGGAATATTCAATATGACAATTATATTAGATGGATTAGTCAGTAGATGGTAAAGATGAAAATGACTTGACTTAAGCTGGACTGTTTGGGTATGAAAACTCATTTCAGAGCTGAAAGTTGTTGAAAGTTCATGCAATCACATCGGCATTCTGAGACCAAACCAGATGCAACCAACATCTTGCTGTCCTCAATATGAATTACACAACATGTGTGAAGTGAAAAATTTAAGGGGGTCTGAATACTTTCCGTACCCACTGTATATGCACACACTTATGTAATCTATTGATTTCTTTAAGTTTTTTTATTTATTGATTTTTTTAGATAGATAATCTATCTAGATAGATAATTGTCATCGTCCTACTGGTAAAATTTCAATACTATTTTTAATATATAATAATATTAATAATAATAATAGTGATGATGATGATAAGGAGGAGGAGGAGGAGAAGGAGTGTATGTGTGTGATTTATATTAAATTTGTTCCATTTTTGCAAAACAATATACATAAATTTAATGTGAATCGTTACATCCCTAATATTTTAAGACAAATCATAAATGAAAAGGTGTTCTTTTATTATTGCTTGGACAAAATGCTGCACATTTCTTTGTGAAACAGAAAAATGTCAAATAACAATACTAAATTTCAATTTTAAAACAAACCCCAAATCTAATCAAATAAATAAGACAAAAAAAAACTTTTCATATAAACAAAGGCTTTGCCTGTGCTCTTTCCATTCAAAATTAGAGGCAACCACTGCATTTGAATCACAATCCAAACAAAGATGCTGAGTACATGCAGCATGAGCAGTTTTTAATCTAAATTAGATTGTATAATTTGAAATTTTAAAACAAAAACAGAATGCTCTGACTTTAGTTTTGTGAAACTATACTACGTAAAACATCTGCACGAAACAAACAGCAGAAGCTCTGAATGAGACGCAGATTCACTCTCTGACAGCAGGTGGCGCTTATGGAACAGCAGCGATACAGCGTTTCCTTGGTTACCGCTGTAAACAAAGCAGCGCTGCGCTTATGAACGCTAACATTTGGGCGGCATTATGCAAATCTTCCCACATAGTGAGGTAGATATGTGGGGGCGTGTTAGAACAAGCCATTTTAGGTAGGAGTGGCTGATTCTTAACTTTTATAAAGAATATCTCTTTGGATTTGAGACTTTAGTCTTTGCAACTTTACAGATCTTCTTTATGCACCAAGAGATTGTAACACTCCAAAGAGAAAGGAAAAAATGAAATCGCATCATATGACCACTTTAATATTAATTATACAGAGATGAGATGTAAAGAAAATATAATCTAAACTTTTCTAAAGACAGTCAGTTCCCCTCAGAGATACATTCATATAAACTCCACCCGCAACTGTATTCATTTAACATTTCAACCGATTTGGATAGTCACATTTGTATCGATTTTCAACCATCTTACGGTGAATCGTTACATCCCTATAAAATATATAGCCTAAAGTTAAGTTGTAATATATTTATTTGTAATTATTATTATGTCGATTTTTTTTATAGCAATACGGATATATACAGATCAAATTCTGTAATTGATAAATGATGCACTGCATTATCAATGACAGACGACTATTAACAGATATAATATGAATCAATGGCATCTCCTTGTGTAGTCTGTGATGAAGGGAACAGCTCTGATGATTGATGAGTTTAATTAAAGAGCCTGAGACCCCCAGAGTCTGATATGGACATCTCCTCCCCCCTAAGAGGACTGAAAATGACTTTAGAGAGCTCAGGCCAATCAGAACATCTGTGCAACATGCTGACACGGACACTACAAAACACAGATGTGTGTCTGTTTGATGGTGTCAACCAACGTCACGTCACCCAAGGGCAGCGCTGTCTGCTTTCTGATGAACACCGTTTCAGTTTGTGGGCCATTCAAGTTCAGCTGCTGTTAGACATTTCTGTGGTACTAAATGAACCTGCAAACTCTCAAAAACTCCCGTCTGCTACTGCTAAAGACAGTAGAATAGTACTACTAAGATACCATAATGTTTAAACACTTTAATTTATATGATTATCTGTACAGTACAGTACAAATATTTGGTCCGTAAGATCTTTATTAATACTTTTAATATTCATACTTTTATTGAGCAAGGACGCATTAAATTGATCAAAAGTGTCAGAAAACTTTTGTAACATTATAAATGTCTCTCTTTACCATTTCAAATAAATGCTGTTCATTTGAACTTTACATTAATCAAAAAAACCCTAAAAAAGTATCACAGTTTCCATTAAAATATAAAGCAATACAACCGTTTTCAACACCGATAATAAGAAATGTTTCTTGATCAGCAAATCAGCATATTAGAGTGATTTCTGAAGGATAATGTGATGCTGAAGACTGGAGTAATGATGCTGAAAATTCAGCTTTGATCACAGGAATAAACTACATTTTACAATATATTCAAATAGATCAAATACATGCAGCCTAGCTACTAACCTCAAACTTTTGAATGGTTGTGTACTAATTCTTAAAAAAAATTTTTTATATACACATATATATAAATAAATAAATAATTACATAACTTTTACTTTTGATTTTCTTTTTAATTTACATTAACTTTTTGCAAATTATCTTTTAATTTATATTAGTCTTTTAATTTATAATTAGACTGTGGCTGAGACAATCTTGACTTCTGAGGACAACTATTGGCACATACAACTTCATAAGCAAAACAAATGATTTCCATTTCAAACATGTGGGTGAATTACACAATTTACACAAAATTATCAGAATTATTTAAAAATTACTACATTTTCAAAAAAGTTGTTTTAGATAATGTGATATCATGATGATAACAGTTTACCACCAAATTCTTATCACTAAAATAGTCAGAATTTTCTAAATTTTTTCTCTCAATAATAGTGATCCTCAGTATATTCTCATTATAATAAAACAATTTTATTTATGAATGAATGTATTTATTATAATGTGTTAAATTTATGTACTAAAATTGTTATAATAAAAAAAATTGTTTTTGTTAGTTTACATTTAATGGTAACTATTTTATTTTATTAGTATTTACTACATATTTGATGATTTAAAGAATATATATTCTTATATATTATTATTATTATCTATTATGGTAATGAGAATTAGATTATTTTTGGCATTATGATAATATTTTTTATTTTTGACTGAGTGGGGGCTTAATTGTTTAATTAATATCACAAACAAAATTACAAAAAAATATATGCATCATATATTTATAGTAATTATATGTATAAAATATGTAATTTTTATAAAAATATATAATTAGATAAAACTAGTCCTAAAATATATAACTTTATATAACACAGCCTGTTTTTAGCTATATTATTTTTTTCTCAGTTTGCGAATGTGCTTGTTTGTAGGACTTAATATTTTGGCTAAAATAGTTTGATTACATAGAAATGTGACTATAAAATAATATTAATAATTATTATTATAGTTGTTGTTATTATTATTATTACTAAATAAAGTTATAAAATATTAAATAAAAAACTAAATATTACAAAAAAAATACTATATTACAATAGTATTTTTGCAATATTTTGCTTTTTGATATTTTACAGCTTTATTTAATAATAAAACTAACTATTATTATTATTATGGTAATGTGAATTAAATTATTTTTGGCATTTCAATAATGAGTTATATATGTTATATATGAATAATGAGTCTCACAAACAAAATGTATAATATAAAAATATAACATTTAAATATAAAATATTAAAAACATTGAATTTGATTGGCGTTGGTGTGAAATACAACCCGTTCTCAGGATTTGTGAGATCTGGATTCTCTCTCACACACAAAAGCACATGTGTACATAATATACATCCTGATAATGAATGATGATGATTCGTTCTTCATCACTCATGCTAAAGTTGATCCGCACTGCACACAAGCACACAGAGAAGTGAAGGAAAGACACAGGTTACTCACGGTTATAGTGGGAATAGCAGCTACCAGAGAGTACACGAGCACCGGCGGTACGTTACTGCTCTCATCCGGTCCAGGGTAAGGTTTGGAGAACGCCTTGTCGAAGCAGAAGAACCCCTGGATGTGCACTGGAAAGGTGTCCGTGTATTCGAAGTAGTACGCCAGGAGAACGGTGCCTGCCATGATCACCAGCTGAAAATAAAACATGATCCACGCTTTACAACCAGAGAAGAGGACACTCTGCCACAGCCACTCCGGCGTCGTGATACTGAGAGTGTTACATGCTGTTCCGCGAGGAAAGCCGCACAGAGCGAGCGACAGGAGAGTGGAAAACGGGGACCGGTGCGGCGAGAGTCAGCGGGGAGAGTCAGCGTGAATTGGAGCCTGAGCGGACACAAATGGGCTCAGCTGCGCGTGTGTGTGTCCGCCTGCGCACAAGTGACATTTGGAATGTGTGTGAAACACAACGAGAGTGTGAACACGCTCATTAGTGACTTTCAAAAGGAGCTCGCCTTCATTCAGTCCTTCTCATTCAACCTCTTAAAAATAAAGACAACACTTTCTGACAAAAGAAAACCGCAAATTAACCACTGATATATAATGAACCCAAAGGGTTTGAGGTACACTGAAAAAAAAAATGTGGTGTTGAATTTTGAAACAATTTTTCAGACACAATTACAAAGTAACGGCAAGTAACACATTGAATTATACGTGATATTTTTAAATAGAAAAACTGAAGTGGCATTTTCTTGTAAAACATACTCAGATCATCTTTGTTTTATTTACAACTTTGAAAAAGAAAGAATTTCTTTTTACAGTGTAAGGCTGTACGATGTAGTTAAAAAAAAAATCTAATTACGATTTTTCTGATAATAAAGGAATAAAAAAATATCAGGTTTGCTGTGCTTCTTTGTAGGGCTGTATAGTTATATCAATATGGCTAATACTACTGCTGCTACTCTTACTACTACTACTAATGACAATTATTATTATTATTATTACTACTACTACTACTAAATAAATAAAACAAAATTACTAGATATAAACAAAACAAGAAATATTACTATTGCAATATCACTAAATTAAAAAAAAAAAAGTATTTAAGAAAATGAATATAAACATAATATTTATATTTTATCACAACTGTAAAATTGCTCATATTTAGGACTGTCTTCATTTTTAAAAATGAAACTATTGAAATTTCATCTTGACAGAAAACCGCAGGGAGCCCTTAAAGCTTTTCTGTTGTTGATAAGAGCTTTTTATTAAAAGTAGAAAAACATGCTGGTATGTTTTGCATTCCCAAATGCACATTAAAGCGACCCAGATTCAGATCAAATGCAGAAATGAGTTTGTGCGGAGCAGCATTTACTGTGAGCCCGAGCTGCTCTGAGACGCTGAAAACACTGGACCATGAGCTGTTCACGTGTAAATGAACACAGTGCCGCGCTTCACTCTAAAACATGCAGTGCATATATTTATTTAATTCAATCTCAGCCTTACTTAATCCATGAATTTATGCTAGATTAAAAAAAATATCAAAACACATGTGAGAATAGACTTCATAAAATCACTAGCTGATTAAAAGACATTGAGTAAGAACGATAATGAGAAGTAGTTCTGAGAAAAGATATCATGCTAAATGACATTTTTATTTGTGTCCAAATGCATTTTGGGGGCACTGTATTTAATAATACACAGTTGTTATTCTCATAAGTGCATAATACTTGTTTCCCGAGTACCTGAAGCATGGAAAATGCACTTGGATTATTCACCCAGATTTCTTAACCCACACAGACAGCCACATTCTCTCACACACACACACACACACACACACACACACAC